TTCCCCTTGAGGTTCTAAGTTCTTTCAAACCCAACAACTTTCTTCAAACCCAGCAAGTGCTATTAGGTTCGATTGAACCCAAGCGCTAGGTTCGATGGAACCTAGCACACCTAGGTTCTTTCAAACCCAGTGGCAAAAAATAAAAAATGATTTTTTGTTTTTTTGTGGGTTTTGTTGTTTGATGATGATGAAGAATTAATTGATGAAGAAGGCAAGGCAAAGAAAAGAAAAGAGAAAGGGAAAGATGATGAAAAAAATGAATTTTTTAAGTTTATTGCCATATCACTATTTTTTGCCATGCTATCTTCCCATGTGGACTTAATATTTTGACATATCATCATGCTTCTGTTAATTAATAGGACATGTAGGCGGACTTTTAATGGAAGGATCAAGTTGGGGGCAAAATAAAAAATAAAATTTATATCTTTATTTGTATCTTTTCTCGAACCGTTTCGTGTAGATGAGCTAGACCTAGTAATAAACTCCTTTATCAGTTTTCTACAAAAGGTAATTATATACTCAGTTCTACTTATAATGTGGCAAAATTATGCAAAAGGAAGAAACTCGTATAAACATACCATATCATTCCAACCCAACTATTTTCTTAGCCATAATGGCAGAGATCTCAATGATTCAAGAGCATTGACAGAAAAAAGGATGAAATGAAACCAAACCAATAAAAGGTAATCATAAACTTTGATAGCTAAGGCTCATATGTGCAGGTAAAATAAAGACAGTGGTTGCAAATGCTCACGTATGGCCTACGTAACTTGTGTCATAATCATGAACTAACAAGAAGATCCTCTTGAGCAACATTGGTCATGGTGACACGAAGCATAGCCTGTGCGCTTAAAGGAGCAAGTTTAGATTGACAGAAGTGCTCCTAAGAGTCCAATTCTAGATGCTTGTACATTGTTGTTGTCAAGAGACAATAGGATTTCTTGTATATAGTTTGACACTCCAGAAGGGTTTGAGCAGCCTCCCTGGACTCACTAAGCTGGGATGCAGCTACATGGATCAATCTTTGAAAAGATAACATTTCCTTCAATTTATTCAATGAATGGAATACAAGTTTATACACAAGAGTATGTTAACGGCAAGAAAAACATAAAAGGAAAGGGATAAGATGACCGTTGGCAATGGCAAAAGAAATAAAGGAAAAAAAAATGCTACTGACATGATTCAAGGGATTAGCCTTGATCACTGGACAACTAATCAATAATTCTATTTACATGAAATCTAACACCCCCCCCCCCTTCAAGTTGGAGCATGGAAATTTGAAATGCCCAACTTACGAAGAAGAAGTTGAAATTGGTCTCCTCCAAGAGCCTTTGTGAATATATCTGCAGGTTGAGATTTGGAGGGAATATGATAGGGAGTGATTGCGTGTGATTATATCCAATGACGAATAAAAGGACAATCCAATTCAATGTGCTTTGTTTGTTCATGGAAGACTGGATTTGATGCAATGTGAAGGGCTGCTTGGTTATCACAATATAGTTTCATAGGCTTGAATGATCAACTCCTAAAGTGTGCAATAAGGCTTTGAGCCATAGAAGTTCACTAACAATGGATGCCATGGCCCTATACTCTGCTTCAGTCGATGAACAAGAGACTGTGGATTGTTTCTTAGTTTTCCAAGAAATTGGAGATGTCCCTAACATTGTGACATAACCAGTTGTGGATCTTCTAGTGGTGGGGCAACTAGCCCAATCAGAATCACAAAAACCAGAGAGTTGCAGTGAGCTTGAAGAAGATAAAAAAATGCCTTGCCTTGGCGAAGACTTTAAGTAGCAAAGTACTCTCATTGTTGCATCAAGATGGAGCTGGGTTGGAGCTTGCATGAATTGACTAAGTATGTGAACAGAAAAAGATATTTCTGGGCGAGTAATGGTCAAATATATGAGTTGCCCAACAAGTCGTCTATATTGCATGGGGTTTGGTAGTGGGGAACCACCATCAAGAGTGAGCTTGAGCTTTTGCTCCATTGGAAAAGAAACAGGTTTAGCACCTAGCATCTCAGATTCAAATAAGATGTCGAGGGTGTATTTTCTTTGGCAAAGAAAGATCCTTGAAGGATGGCGAGCAACTTCAATGTCGAGGAAGTACTTTAACCTTCCAAGGTCCTTAATGTGGAATTGAGAATTGAGAAAGTCTTTCAAATGTTGACAAAGTGTAGAATTGTTTCCTGCAATCATTAAATCATCAACATAGACGAGAACCGCAAGGAAATTGTTCCCTTGTCGGTAAGTAAACAAAGAATAATCACATAATGATTGCTGAAAACCAAAAGAATGTAAAGTAGAGGTAAATTTTGCAAACCAATTTCTTGATGCTTGCTTGAGTCCATAGAGGGATTTTCTCAAGTGACATACTCGTTGTTCTCCTTTGTTGCCATATCCAAGTGGTAGTTGCATATATACTTCTTCATCAAGATCACCATGAAGGAAGGCATTGTGTACGTCAAGTTGGCATAATTCCCAATTTCGAATTGAGGCCACTGTTAAAAGACATCTTACTATAACTAGCTTGGCCACAGGGGCGAAAGTGTCATGATAATCAAGTCCCTCAACTTGTGTAAAACCCTTTGCTACTAGACGAGCCTTATATCTTTCAATGGTGCCATCAGCTTTGTATTTAATTTTGTATACCCATTTGCAACCTATGGGTTGTTTATTGGGAGGAAGAGGTTCCAAGGTCCAAGTATGATTTTTTTCAAGAGCTGCAATTTCATCTTCCATTGCTTGTCTCCACTTTGGATTTTGAATGGCCTAAGAAAAAGATTTCGGCTCATCTTCATTGGAGATGGCAGCTAGAAAGCAACAGTGAGGCATATTGAATTTTTCATATGAAATAAAGTGAGAAAGGGGATGTCGTGTACCTAGGACTCTTGATGATTTTTACACTTGAACTCCATTTAAAATATAGTCTGTTAGATAGGATGGCTTCTTTTTCTCACGTTGGGGTCTTGTTGTTTCCTGGTGAGAATTAGTAGTATTTGTGATATCATTGTCTTTTGCCCTATAATGTTCATTCGATCTGTGTTGGATAGTTGCATCTGCTTTATGGGCTCCATCGGATATTGACTCAAAATGAGGCTTGTGCACATCATCAAGCTTTCGATTGTCGAAGCGAGTCAATGTGGTATCTATGCCTGAATTAGTGGCATCCTTGCTGGAGTGCAATTTATTTGCATTTGGAGAAGTTACACCATTAGTGGCTAGAACATTTGGTGCATGATCAACGGCTTGTATGCCTCCATTACTTGTATCATCATCACTTGATTTTGCATTTTGCATGGATGTTCTCTTCAAGTGGCTATCCAAATTTGTATTTGGAATGGTCTCAATGTCCTCCTCATAGTATGATGGTAAAGGACTAGCTATCGGAGCCTTTTTCATTAATAGGACAGTTCCCTTCATCCTGAAATGGGAAAATATTTTCATAGAAAATAATATCACAAGATACAAATATTTGTTTGGTATCAAGGTCAAAGACCCAATATCCTTTCTTACTGTGAGCGTAGCCAATGACAACACACTTTGTAGACCGAGAGGAAAATTTGTCACTAGGCAATGGTGATTGGCGAGCATAGCAAAGGCAACCAAATACCTTAAGATGAGAATAGGTGGGTGACTTACCAAAGAGAAGTTCGTATGGTGTCTTACCATCAAGCAATGGAGTAGGAGTATAATTAATTAGGTAGGCTGCAATGAGAGCACATTCTCCCCAAAAAGATATGGGCAAATTTGCTTGAAAACGTGAAGCTCGAGCAACATTGAAGAGATGTCGATGCTTTCTATCAACAACTCCATTTTGTTGAGGAATATGTACACAAGAAGTTTGATGTATTATCCCTTGCTTAAGAAAGAAAGTCTGCATAGAATTAAAGAGAAATTCCTGCTCGTTATCTGAGAGCACTTATTTAACTTGCAATCCAAATTGATTTTTATCCATATTAATAAACATGATTAGATATCGATAAGTTTCAGATTTATATTTCATAAGAAAAACCCAAGTAGCACGAGTATAATCATCGACAATGGTGAGAAAATAATGTGCCCCTAAATGTGAAGGGGTATGGTATCTTCCCCAAATATCACAATGAATAAGAAAGAAAGGTGATTTAGCACGTTGATGATTAATTGGAAAAATGCTTCTAGTTTGTTTTGCTCGATGACAAGTATCACAACATTTAGGAAAGGAATTAGGGTCAAAAGAAATATTTTTACGCAATAAAGATAAACGATCAAACGATGCATGCCCCAATCTTTGATGCCAAAGTTCCATGGAAGGTGAAACTGTAGCATTCAAAGTTGGAGTCTCATTTATTGGATTGAAGTAATAAAGACCGTTGTGTAATTCACCCATTCCAATTAGTTCCTTTGTAGTAATGTCTTGCAAGACACAAAAACTTGAGAAGAAAATCATAGTGCAATTTAAATCTCTAGTGAGCTTACTTACATATATGAGATTGCATGTAAAGTCGGGTATGTATAAAAAATTTCAATATTAATATTGGGAGCTAAAGAAACTCGACCAATACGATGAATCGAGACAAGGTTCCCATTGGGAATTTTTGCATAGTTTTGTGTAGAAAGAGGATGCAATTGTTCAAGATTATTTTTATAACCTATTACATGATCAGATGCACCACTATCCAAAATCCAATTTTGCAGGGTCAAGAATTTCCTACCAGAAGCATTACTGAGAGAGGAATGTAAGGTCATGAATTCCCTACAAGAATCAAGAGGAATTATAATAGTTGAAGACTGTGATTGATTCTTGCTGCCAATGAAGCTATCCAGAATTTTGGTTGATTCACTTTCAACCATGGTGTCGACTGCAAAAGAATTTTTGGAGGATCAATTTTTCTCTGATACCATGTGAAAAGATAACATTTCCCTCAATTTATTCAATAAATGGAATACAAGTTTATATACAAGAGTATGTTAACGGCGAGAAAAACATAAAAGGAAAGGGAGAAGATGACCGTTGGCAATGGTAAAAGAAATAAAGGAAAAAAAAATGCTATTGACGTGATCCAAGGGATTAGCCTTGATCACTGGACAATTAATCAATAATTCCATTTACTTGACATCTAACACAATCTGTCAATTCCATACGTTTTAATTCCCTCAACACCTTGTAGAAATGAAATTAACATGAATTCAACTACAGTAGGAAGCAAGTTAGGGCTTACAAACCAATAATGCCAGGAAAAACCTAACGTGATTACATCTAAAAACAGTATATTGCTCAAGCCATATACAAAAATCCATGTTTTATTTCTTTGTGCAATTCAATTATCAGTTGAATAAGCAACATTAATATTCTTATTGAAACTCCAAGAAACAAGATTATGATCTGATCTGCATCAACAACAATTAGGAAATGGACCATCCAACAGGAATGTCTAATGTGGAAAAGAAACCAAGGAAGACAGTAATGTTGTTCTAGACATTGACCAATAGAAACTCTTTTAGTGCTCTATATGATTAGTAAACAAATGAAGTAGCAGTGAGCAAATCAAGCATACTTTTCTTGCCAGTTGCGGAACACTTCAAGAAAAGCACACTGATGCCTTGGTTCAAATTCGTGGATTTCTGCTTTTGAGATAAGGTTACCACTTCGGCAACAAAACAAAAAGGGAAAACCAAGTGGTCATTTTACCTCTAAAGCTCTCTCAGCTGCCTCACAAACAAACTTTTTGTCTTGTGAAGATTTAAGTAAAAGCTGCACAAGCTGCATTTGACAATATTTGGGCATACATTCACAATATTAGTTGTTCACTTACCAATCACTTGTGAGAAGATAATCATTCAACAAAAAAAAGGCTGCAGTGACTTTAGAGATTATGAAGTAGGCAAAACCCCAAAATCCACCCCTCTACCCAAATCCTTCTCTCAAAAAAATGAAGGGACAAATTGTTCCTTCAAATTATAAATCAAGATAAATCACTCATTTTTTAATGGAGTTTGTTTGCCATGTAAGCATTTTTTAACGGAAAGTTAATAGAATCCATTAAAAAATTGGTGATTTGTCTTGATATATAATTTGAATGGACAATTTATCGTTATATTTGTTTGAGGAATGGATCTATCCCTACCCACCTTTTTTGGGGTGGATTTGGGGGTTATGGCTTACGAAGTGCCAGTGGATCCAACAATCAACTACATGGTCATTAAATGTAGTGAAAACATCTACAGATGTCATAATTAGTGAAAAGGAATTTAAGCATATGAGCATACAGTTTACTTCCAAATATTAGTGAAAATGAAAAAGCGAAAGTAACGAGTTATACCCTGAGACTTGTATCAATGTCTTCAAGATCACTCAAGTTCTCAGATTCAATGTATTCTACTTCTGAATTTGCTACTTCTACTCCAAAATTTACTGTTTCACTCCACTAACATGAATGGGAGAAGACTTCTTCCTCTGCTTCTCTTCAACATTTTCATTCATGTTCTCATTGCAAAGTTTTGTAAAACACCCTCCATTGGAGTCATCATTCTTGCTTTCAGATGTAGGTAGGCTATTGAGATCTTTAAGAGCTTTGATCGACATCACTGTTAGGACTAGCTCTGAAACAATAAAAGGGAAAAGGAAAAATCATAACATATTCTGCTCGAGTACAATTTGTCCATATCCTTACTGACAAAAATGAAACCAGATTAGTGCAATGAAACAAACTCAGTACAAAATTAAAAGTTCAAACCAACAAGATTCATACCATTGATTGCATGCTTAAAATAGATTAGACAGCATCATGAAATACCCAACAAAAAAAAGGACAAAGGTAGAAGGCCTAAACTTCAACAAAGGAACATGCATCAATTTCTTGTAGATTTTTCTTACTAATCACTATCTTATAACATTCCCACTTGAATTCATGGATCATGGACGATGGTTCAAACTTATAAACCAGGACTTCTTATGGTACTATTTTCCCTCTGCCAAAATCAACCAAGTCTCAACCCTTAATAACCCCTCCCAAATTACTTTCATGACTTCTTTCAACATATTTCACAACTATTGCTGAGCTCCCCACCTCCAGCTCCTCATCTTGTTTAGAGTGAGGGAAATCCGACCCGGGCCGGCAGTCACGGGATTTTGGACTGCGGGTAAGCATTTGGTATGAGTATTTGTATTATTTTGAAGTACCTTATTTCTTCGGATAAATATTATATTTGAATTGTCAAAAAAAAAAATTAAATAAGCAATATATATATAATATAGTTATGAGTATTAAGTTAAGTAATAAAATTAGAGATTTAAAATTATTTAATTAACTTATTACACATACTTATATAATTAAAATTTTATATGTATTTATTGTATTTAATGTTTATATAACAATAATAATTTTTAAAAATAAATAATAAAATTAAAAATTAAAAATAAAAAGTTAAGTTTCATAAACTAGATAAATCACACAAATAAATCACATAGAGAATAATAGCAACTCTTATGTAAATAACAAATTTTAAATTAAATCAGTAATAATAACATATATAAGGTCTCTTCTTTTTATAAATTAAGTACAAAAATATATATTTATAAATTATCTAATACTCATTAGATTAAGTATCAAATATAAATTTATAAATATTTGAATAAACACTAATTTTACAAAGTTATACTTAAAAATTTTTAAATTAAATATCAAATATATCTCTTATTCAAACAGGCAATCGAAAATATTCACCCCCATTTTGGACCTTTTGGTCAAATGGAATGGGCCTTCTGAAATTCGAACTTTGTACGCCAGTAGTTGTACCTGTTTTATTCACCCAAAACCCAATGAATTACCATTTAAGCCTTGACTGCAGATTTGTTTATTGGGCCCCAACTCAATAAAGTTTCATCCAAGTCCAATAAAAATTTTATTTTCTCAATTATTTTTTTTTGTTAATTCATATTCCAAAAAATAATAATTTTATTGAATATATAAAAATGATA